ACCATACTTTATCTAAACCATTCCCTATCATTTTGATAAAATTTGGGCAGCACTTTCCCTTAGGAAAATGACTTTCCATCATCATTAAAATAGCACAAAACCCACATATCATTATTATACTTGAAATAGGAGAGTTGTAGAAGCTTACCTTGCTTCCAAATGACTTTCTCTCACTAGAAATCTTCTCTTTCTCTCTCTAAACGAAAACTTGCAAGAGGTTTCCTACTTGAAAGGCTTCACACAAAATGAACATATGGGAGGGGGTATTTATAGACTTCCTTTTTCATTAATTCCACATTTGCCCTTCTTGCATAAGACTTAATCTTAACCCTCCAATTTTTACCTCTTTCCACATGTACAAATCTTAGGCTATGTGGCTTAATATGTTGACACTTGGATGGTGAGTCATTAGGGCTTATGTCATCTTTCTTATCCATTAAGATTAATTAGGCTTTAATCAACGTTAACTCTCTTAATTCCTTGATTAACTTGGCTAATTACCCTTCTAGAAACTTTTGACTTTTCAAAGATAGATAGTTAAATCCTAGCCATCCAATGAACCATGTTTGCCACGTCTTATGATCCTACGGAAGATGACTTAACCATAATCATCTTACTTAACCCTAATTAAATTTTAATCTAACTTGATTTAGTGTTTTCTTTTCCTTTTTCTTGGTCAATTTGGGTGTGACATATGTCCTTGACATTCTGTCAGAAATTTTACCACCTCGGTTATCCTGACAGTCTGCTGAATCGTAATATAATATTGGTTTATTTTATCTGATAGCTAAAAAATTCTAGTATCTCAGAATTCTTATATTAGATCACCATTAATTATATGTCAATAAAGGGAACTGTCTTGATTAATTTCATAATTTTTCTCCCCATATAACTCTTTAAATTACCGTTTCCGTAAAAACAGACAATCTACCGATATTAATTTAGATTTAAATTTAATTAAAGCTAACCTCCTCATCATTTAGGGTTGGAAATAATTTTATAAATCTCCATAATTCCTAAATGAATTTTCATAATTTTCTGAGATCTCTAGGTATTTTTAATAATTGATATTGGCCAACAAAAGGCACATATATGGCACCACCTTAGAGGAGTAGAGGAAAAAAAAATAGTCAATATTATTGACCAATTAGTCAACCTTATTGAGTTACATAGTAGAAATTTTGCTCTACCGGGTATATAGGTAACTGTCTAACACTTACCCATATTGCATTCTTATTTTTCTACTGCCCATAAAATATCTTCTGGTGACTCATATGATGACTCATCACCCTCATAAATGAAGCACATGGGAAAGAAGAAGAGAATTCAAGTTGAACTTGTCTTCCTCAAAATATTTGAGATATTTTCTAACTTTGTCTCCTAATTAAGGGACATTAATTATTTAACATTTGACTGGAGCATTTTATCCAATCCTAAACTCTAAAAATTCATCTATTTATACCATAAAATTTGTTTAATTCTGTAGAAAATCTCTGAATTTTCTCATATCATAACTCAGACCATAAGTATTTCTTTTTAAATTTCCCATAACAAGCCCACAAACTGCAATTCTGGCCCTAAAAAATATTAAAGCCATTCTACTGGCCTTCTAGGATTGAGACTAATTTTATAAATTCTATAGCCTCTTAGATCATACATCCCCATTTTACCATAATTTTCTGAGGTTTCCTTATGACTCAAACAATTAAATCTACCTCTACATTTCAAATTAGGCCATAAACTTATAAATTCCTTTTAAGTCAAATCAAGGGCATTTTCGCCATTTCTCCTTATATACAGGCCTTAAAATGTCCTTTTCCATTTTCTAGAATTTTCTAGAATTTTTAGGTATTACTTCCATTTTTACCCATTCCTGGCCCAAAACTTTCCAAAATTACGGTTTTGTCCCTAGTCAAGTAAACCTCATAAATCACCCTATTATGGCCTCTATCATAACCTTTGGTCTGAACTAACCTCTTTTCTCATTTCTGGGCCTTGAGACTTCAATGGAGCCTCTAACTTTCTTTACATTCTAGTCCCTAGAACTTTCTCTATTTACAGTTTAGTCCCTGAAACCCTTCAACATTCTTTTTACATTTCTGGGACTCCTACTCATAGGGATTTAGTAGTCTACCTATCTTAGGCTAACCCATGTACTCTTAGACCCAAAACTTGGGGTGTGACAATTGGTAAGCAAGTCCACTTGATTCTGAATTTCTACCGGTAGATTGCAAAAGTGAAGGGATAGGACAGGGCTATTGAAGTAGAAGAGGAAGATGTGAATAGAGAGGGAAGGAGGTGGGAGCTGCTTGATGAAGGATGGGTTAACTTAAACACAGATGAGGCTTGCAAAGGAGAACATAGAAACACGAGGTGTGGAGGGGTGGTGAGATTCAGATAGAGGGTGGATTGCTGGCTTCTCTGCTCAAATCGGAAGTTGTACGGTGAAGAAGGTAGAGTGTTGGGGAGTCTGTAAAGGCTTGGAATTGGCTTGGAACCTAGGGTTGAGAAAGGTTCAGATTGAAACTGATGCCTCCGAAGTAGCAAAGAAATTGAAGGGAAAGGTGGAAGAAGGAACCTTTATAACTCACATTTGGAATCAGATCTTTAAGTTGATGAATAGAAGATGGGAGGTCAGAGTGAGATGGATTAGGAGATTGGCGAGCTCTTGTGCAAATACCTTGGCAAGATTGAGTTTTGAAATGGAAGGTGAGATGCAGATCTGGAGTGAAACTCCACGGGAAGCACTAGGGATATGGGAGATGGACAGAGTACGAGGACGAAAAGCACATGTTGGTCAAGATTCAGAAGAGAGAGATGATCCTGGATAGATTTCCTTTATGTTAATGGGCTTGGGCCTTCGTTTTCACCAAAAAAATGTGTAGTAGTGTAGAGTTTAACTATTTTGGAATTTAGATCTTGACTCAGACTGTTTAAAGCTTGAACTCTCAAAAGGCACACATCTATAACCTATATTTATAAAAGTAAAATATTCTGATCACCTTCTAAAACTATTAACACCATTAAAAAGTATTCTAAAAATGCATATATAAAATACACAACATTTTCAGCTAATATATATCTAAAAAGAATACATCACAAGTAAGTTTTAATAAATAAACGAGATTAAACATTTACATTTATTGTAAAATATAAAATTTTATTTACAAAATTAGTTATATTATGGTAACGGATTTAATGGTATAACAACAAAAATATATGTTAAAATTAGTTTTCAAACTCAAATAAATATATCAGATGTGATTAAATGGTAATTATTAAGTAATATTTGTGTTAAGGAGAAGCATTTTGGTCAAAATAAAAGGTCAACTCTATAATTTAATAGTCAATGACAGTTGGATAGATAGAAGTTGAATTTCAAAAGTGAGGTTTGTGTAACATATATTTTAATTTTAAGGGAGTCTATATAGGTTTTCAAAATAAAAAGGAGATCTCTGTAATTTAGGCTAAACAAAGGGAAAATTAATGTATTTTACTCTAATTATAAATATAACATAAAGGCATTTGTGATATTACATCGTAAACTTCGATAGATTATCCTAAAATTTCTGTTACGACATTGTTTTGTATTTTTTGGCCACAAATAAATTTTAATATATATAAAAGATACGTGTTGCAGTGGCCCAGTACGTGCGATTATTATATACCTACTCCTTCAATTATTCTCACCAAACCTCTGCATTCAATTATTCATATATATAATGGATTAAACAATAACTTCACTCTAAATTAATGTTCAAATTTCACGAAATTTTTGTTTATTTTAAAATTAGGGAACACCTTAAAGCAGAAAATCAGTGTTTTTGTTAAATTTAAAAATGATGTACCCGAATTTATGTTGCTATCTTATTGTCTCTTTTCATTGATTGATTATTCTCTTCTCGCTTCTTGAACTACTACTACGTGAAGAAAGCTCTGCTCATAAAAATCCGTTGCTGTCATCATCAATGTCAACAAAATTTATTGAAATTATGAATAATGCATTTCAATTTCTGTCACCTGTGCAATCTTTTTTTTTTTTTTGGTAAAAACCAGATGGTATTCCCTAGCCGATAGCTAGAGACTGATCCTCTTAAGAGGTAGAGATCACTGAAGTGGTTTTTACCTCCCCTAACAAAGCCTTTTTCATGTACACGGCCTGGTTCAAACCCAGAACATCATGTCGTCTGTGCAATCTTTTTTTTTGTGCTTATTTTTTTTTTCATCTTTTTCACATATTCCGTGGGGGCTCAATATGCATCGTTAATATTTCTCGACATAATATAATGTTCAATTACAAAGTTTACATTTGAAAATAAACTAAGATCAAGTGGACATAATCTATGAAGCTAGTTATGTAGTTATTGAAATTAAATTAGACATGAATATTTTGGATTGTGAAATTGTACCATGTCAAGTACTCAAGTCTTTGCATATAAGCGTGTTCCTAAGGATATTCATCTATTTTGCTTCATTTAATTTAATTTCCTTTTCACTGATTTTTCCTTCTTCATCATTGTCCCTCTATTTCTAACAAAGTGACGTCGGCAACTAATAATGACAATTATTCCACCGTAATAATATCATTCAAGTTGATCCTATCGTATATATACAGCTCTATATATAAGAAGACTGCAGCCTCTGGTAAGCCCTCATACACATACCCCCACCAAGTCCCTCATCTGGCTTATTTCATATTCTTCCATTATTAACAGGTGTGTGTGTGTGTGTGTTATGTTCTTGTTCTTCATCCTCATATTTCCATAAAAACCGAACCCAAAAGTACTATCTTTTTTCTTTCTCTTCATGTACGTAACTTATTTGATCTATGTTGCTTTCTTGGGTTTTCTGGTACGTGAAAGAAGAAAATAATGGGCTCTCACACAGAAGTAGAGAGCAGTGTTATAGAGCAGCCATTGTTGAAGAAGTGTCATGAGAACTGTGCTGGTTGTAAGGTGGATAAAGCCAAAGAGACGAATAGGCGTGTGCCTATTCGGCATCTATTTAGCATATGGATGGTTGTTTTATGCACCAGTAAGTAAATAATGAACCCTTTGTATTCATTAATTTGTTTTTTTGTTTTCCTTTAACAAGATCGGTCAGTTTTGAGTACTGACTTAGCTCATACGTACTCAGATATTCTTTATGCCCTAAAAAGTTTTCTTTTTTAATTAATGGTATACCCTCTCCCATCCCATATACAAAGCATGTTCCAGAAGGGATTTTTAATTCTTTTTTATAAAGTATTTGATAACTTTACCGAGGATTATTAATAAAGAAAATGGAAAATGTCATAATCCAAATCAGGCACCTAACACTTCAAAATCCTAAGAAAGGAAGTGGTACTTACTCTGGTATTTTGTAAATATAGTTGAATGACTAAAATGCCCTTATATAAAAAAATTTATTAGCAAGTTTTGAATTGACAATGACAAGTGTTGAATAACAACTGACAAAGAATGTACTAACAATGACAAATTATTTATTAACAAGTTGTGAACTGGTAATAAAAAATGTTGAATAGCCAATGACACGAAATGTACTGGTAATAACAAATTATAAGGTTTTTTTTTTTCAAAATATGATACAAGGGCATGTTATTCATTTAACTAAATTTACAAAATACTAGATCGGACATGACTTTCTTTTCTATCATTTCCAACTCTTAGGTGCCTGAATTGCAAAATGATAATTTCAGGGTTTTTTTTTATAGAATTTTCCCTATTTAATATTTTTCTTTCATATATATATATACTCAAATTTAGTATAGTTAATAAAGATAATATTAAAAATTATTTTAATTTTATGATAAATTTTAGTGCATATGAATTAGTTAGAGATATATAAATTATAGTTAGGATTGGAGTGAATTTATCATGAATTTACCAGATTGAGCTAACATATTTTTGGGTTTGAAACTTAACTATGGTTACTCATTAGCAAGCATTTGGTCTTGCTTGGAAGTAGCGTAAACAGCCTAATACTACGTCTTAAAGTTTTTGTACCAAAAAATGCTGTTAGTAGATTTTAATAGGAAAATTTTAGATAATTTTCTTGTGTTTTAATTTTATGTCATTTTTTAAATAAAAGAAAAGTCTGCTATAATTTATGCATGACTCAATGATTTGGTTCGATCTGCTTCTTCTTCTTTTATATTTGTTCTTTGGTTAATTTTAACGACTCTCTGATGTTTTATTTCCTATGTTCTGTACACAGCTCTGCCTATATCATCTCTCTTTCCTTTCCTCTATTTTATGGTGAGTTTCATTATATATTTACTTACATATTACCTGTTTTTCACTTGAATATTCTGATCCTTCAGAAGTTAATATTCCTCGAAATTAACAAATCATTGCATATGAAGGAATCTTGTTGGGGTGGTCCCAGATGAATTTTGTTTTTTAACAAAGAAACAATTCTATTTATTATTTGTCTTCAGGTTTATAGTCATCAGAAATCTTTGTTTTCTTTAGAGGAGAAAAATATAGTTTTGTGTTTCCTCTTATGATCATATGACAGATACTGAATATACTTTCAGGTAAGGGATTTCAAAGTTGCCAAAAGAGAGGAAGATATTGGAGGCTATGCTGGTTATGTGGGTACGATTACTTTTAAAACTTCCGAAAATAAATATTATTTTTTCTGGTCTCCTAAAATATTCTCTTCAATAATTCGTGTTGGAATTATCTTTCAATGAAAACCCTTTTAATATATACAATTAACATGAATAGTCTAGAAAATAATTCATAAATTTGGCGTATTGAAAGCTTATATCTAGGATAAAAGTAAACCCCCTCACTAATTTTTATATTTAGTACAAGAGTGAGTAGCTTATAATCTCTCCGGATCCGAACTGGATGAGTTTCAAATGAAAAGCAGTACTACCAACATGGCTTTTACTGTTTTTTAGTATTTTGATTTATGGACTATATATTGCAAAAATGTTGCAGGATCTGCTTTCATGCTTGGCAGATCTTTGACGTCTGTAGTGTGGGGAATGATATCGGACCGATATGGTCGAAAACCCGTGATAATCATAGGGGTTTTGACTGTGTAAGTATACATTTACTATGATTAATCTTTTGTTTCAAGCTCTAATAATTCATGTGGCTTCTACATAATTATACTGATTTTTGAACTTGTATATATTTCAGTGTCATTTTCAACACATTATTTGGCCTTAGCACAAGCTTTTGGATGGCTGTTACTATGAGATTTCTTCTGGGAAGCTTAAATGGCTTGCTTGGACCAATGAAGGTACTAGCAGTTTCAATGTGTGATCTAATTAGTTACAAGTCTTCAACTGTGTCCCTGTAATAATAATACTAATAATAATAGTAGTAGTAGTAGTAATTTGATCATTGTTATTATACTTCTATCCATACTTTAGCTTTGCTTATTTGGATTTTAAATGTACAAAATATTATAATAATATCTCAAAAAAAAGAAAATAACTATCAAAGAGTCTCAATAATAAGTGAGACATCATTTCCTATACTGAAATTTGCTATTACAAACTATTGAGTTGTCATTAAAAATTTTAGTAATTATGTTTTTTTTCCACTTTATTGCAATTCTCCCTTGAGCATACCTAGAAATTATGGGAATACTTGTGGAGAATTAATGATAGGGATTACCTTGATAAGTTTGAAACCTTCCTGGGTTCCTATTAAAAGAATTTCAAATTTAAGAACCCAAAGTAAAATTAGTAAAACTTTTAAAAGGCGACCTAGGAGAGTCTAATAATTAAATTTAACTTTTGATCCGCCAGAGAGGGGAGGAAAAAAAAAACACAAGTGGAGCTACCCATTTAATAATGAAAAAAGACTGTTATTAAAAAGCATAAATAATAAGTTTGCACAAATTTTTCACGGGATAAAAAACGTATAATACCTATATAATACCAAGAAAAAATTGAAACTTCAATAAATAAATTTTTGTATTGGACTAACATCGAATCTGTTTGGTTTGAAGGTGGTTTTCTTTACATTATTCTGATACTAAGCATACATTAATGTGTAAATTTTCTCTATGTTCAGGCTTATGCTACTGAGATTTTTAGGGAAGAACACCAAGCTCTTGGACTCTCAACTGTATGCTTCGTTGACCTATATTTATTGTAATTTAATGGAATTCACACACACACACAGAGCATTCGTTCATTATAATATTTAAATGTTTGATATATCTGATTTTCAGGTGAGCGCATCTTGGGGCATAGGTTTAATTATTGGCCCTGCATTGGGAGGTTATTTGGCTCAGGTTTGGTCTAATTTTTCTGCCACAAATTTAACTAAATTTAGGTATATTAATTAGAAGGATGATAACCTGAAACTCTATATTTTAATATAGAGAAAAAATGTAGAAATTTACATTTCCTTTTACAATAATAAAACAAATGAAAATTTTTTTCAAGTAAGCTTAGTCTACCAAACGGATCTTAAATAATGTGTGCGCATATATATATATATAAATATATATATATTCCTTGTTTCTCTAATTTTTTTTATTTTGGAATTTTGAATTGCAGCCAGTAGAGAAATATCCAAATATATTTCCGAAAAACTCCTTCTGGGATAAGTAAGTGCAATTATTATTTATTATACTCTTTTTGTCTGATGAAACAATATTACTGCTATTAGCTTACTAAATCTATCTACTCCTTTATGTATATAAATATCTATTTTTTTTCTCCAACATCTACTCGTTTATATTTCTTTATATATTTTTTGGCCTTGACTTTTATTTGACAAAACATTTAAATTTCTTGCAGGTTTCCATACTTCTTGCCCTGCTTCATTATCTCAGCTTTTGCGCTAGCAGTGATGTTCGGCTGCATCTGGATTCCAGTATGTATTTTAGGGGCAGTTGTGTTTGTTTTTTTTGGGCCAAAATCCTTAGGGCCAGTTTGTTTGCCTTTTTTTTCCGACAAAAAAAATGTAATGTGAGTTGGGAGAGTAAGGAGAATTGAGAGAAAAACTTGGGGATTATAACTATCTATTTTAGCTTATTCTGACCAGTTAATTGGATTATCTTACCAAAATAAACAAAAAAATATATTATTTCCAACATATCCCGATACTTATTTCAAGATCTTTTCTCCCAGATCCTCTTTACTCTCCCAACTAATTAAAATTACTTTTTTATTGTTTTTAATTTAAAAAAAAAAACTCCTCCATTAATATGCTAAATATCATCTGATGATTAATCAAATTTATATCTTTCTCACCATAACATGTAAGATGATGTTCTTAATAGCCTAGCAAGTTCCAATACGAAACCTTTACGATTTTAATGGAAAGGAAATGTCTTTTTCTGGTGGATACTACATACATATACATATACATACACATACACACACATATACACACACACATCCCTCATCCACACATACACATGCAGAGAGAAAGGAAATGTCTTTTCTATTGTGCAGCCAGTCAGGGGAATTGAGTTTCGGCGGTGATGAGCTCGTAATCTCGATTATCTAAATTCATGTGTTTATTATTTTCATTTTTTAAACAATTATTTTAATAGGTATAGGATCTAAAATAAAAATAATTCTTGACAATCAGTTTTTCAAAAAATAATTTTATCATCTAAAAATTACAGTTGAAAATTTCAAATATGAAATCTCTGAGAAACATATTCAGAATAAAAGCTAGCTTATGATTTAGAGTTGGATTTTCTTTTTGTTTTCCCTTTTTCTTGTTTTTTTTTTTTTTGAAAAAGCTATCTGCCTTGCTGTAGGAAACATTGCACAACCATAAAGTGGGTGATGAGTCAACTGAGGATGATACCGAAGCTTTAGAAAATGGAAGCAGTTCTAAGTCTAATGACACAGAAAAGAAAGTAACTCAAAAGGAGGAGAATCTCCTCAGGAATTGGCCTCTCATGTCATCAGTCATAGCTTATTGTGTATTCTCACTTCATGATATTGCTTATCAAGAGGTATTAATTAACTGAAGTCAAATTTGTTTTATGCTATCTCTGGTTCTTAATAAAAGAGTTAGATAATTAATTTTAAGATACCAAAAAAATTAATTAAGTTAGTCATTTGTCACAAATATGTATTGATCTCTTTAAACTATCTTCTTTAATCATATTTATTGGATGATTAGAATTATCTCTTAGAGGGAATTCCTTACAATCATAGATAGCTCTTATATTCAAAACCAAATCCAACCTTTTAACTAGCTCTTATATTAAGTATCAGAGCTAGTATTTATCCTAATTGATATTGTTCTGTTTCAGAAACTAATTTTGAATATTTTTTTTTTTTGCAGGTTTTCTCATTATGGGCTGTAAGTCCTAAAAGGCTGGGAGGATTGACATTTTCAACTGATGATGTTGGTGATGTTCTTGCAATATCTGGTATTGCCACCTGCAAAATGTTTCATTACTGTACTTTCACTTTACGATCCTTTATGCATGTATGACATGCCCACAAAAAAGTAATAATAATAAAGGCTTGTTTGACGGGAAGGAAAGATTTTTAATAAAAGGGAGATAAAAATTGAACTTATGGTAAGCATGAAAGTGGAAACAAAATATTCTACTTAGACGATGTTTGGTAAAAGGGAAAGAGGAGGACTGTAAATAATTAGTGCCAAAGGACTAAATTGGCCCTCTTAATTAAATCATAAAATAACTCAGCGTGGGCAATTTTGAATTTTTATAAGGATCATCCCAAATGGGGCTTCGGCCTTCTTCTCTTACATATTCAGTGTTTGATACTCAATTTCATTTTTTGTTTTTCCTCATTCCATTGCACCCCCCTCTCTCTCTCTATATATATATATATGTTCTTTTGAGCTTAATCGCTTTTTAATTGGTTAATTACTCTGTTTTCTCTTGGTTATTTTTAGGTGTTGCACTTATCATCTACCAACTTACTCTATATCCATCTGTGGAGAAAATTTGTGGACCTCTCAGTATTGCTCGGATTTCAGCGGTTAGCATTAAAATTAACGTTGCAACTTACGAAGCACAGATACACATATATCAACTATGATTCAACACTTCAAATTCCATTTAAACACTACATATTATTAATTATATATGTCATGTCATGTTTCATATTTCTGTCAAAATTGGACCTCTTAGCATTTTAGTGCATGACCTATTTTAACTAAAAGTTTTTTATTTTGGCATGGAAATTGCAGGCTTTATCCATACCACTCTTACAAAGCTTCCCCTGCATAGCGATGTTGTCAGGCTTCACACTGTTATTAGTATTAAATGTTGCTTCTATCGCAAAGAATCTTCTATCTGTAAGTAGCTCTGTTTTCATTTAACCATCATGGGTGAAATAGTTGGTCCAAAATGATATTTAAAGTAAAACTACTATTCCATGTGATAAATATTCATGATATTATTTTTGTGAAAACTCAGCATGATAACATTATAAGCTGTATTACGTAAAAACTCAGCAGGGAAGCGTTTGTTTCATATAGGGACCCGTTTGGTAAGATGGAATTGAGTATGTGGAAATAGAAATGAAATTCGAACCCGTGCTTTAACCATGTTTGGTAGCATAGAATTTGATACAATTCCATTTCCATATATCCATCAAAATATGTGGAAATAGCTTCGATCTTCTATCAATTAAGTTTTCAAATTCCATATCCACATTCTCCATTTTGGGCCCTGCCTTGGCCCTTTCATGGAATTTCTTGTTGGATTTTAGGTGACAATTACAACTGGCTTATTCCTTCTGCAAAACAGAGCCGTGGTAATATTTTTGGTTTCAACAAGTTTATTATTATCATGATTATGATTATGATTATTATTATTATTATTATTATTATTATTATTATTATTATTGTATGAAAAAACAGGAACAACACCAAAGAGGAGCAGCTAATGGCATTTCTATGACGGGAATGTCAATATTTAAAGCAATAGGTCCTGCTGGAGGAGGAGCAATGTGAGTATCGACTTTGTTTCTTTTGATTTACTTATTTTTTATAGGGGGGAAAAATAAGATAAAATGGGTATAATTATTTTATTTTTCATCGAATATCTGATTTATGTATTTTCTTATTGAATACAGATTAACATGGTCACAGAAGAGAATGGGTGCTTCTCTCCTCCCAGGTATGATCTTTAATCAATTTGTTTGTGTTAATTGAATTTCTTTATTTAATAAATATTTTTGGTCTTGGCATGGGGCAAAGACGGAGATAAACTTCTTACTTCTTTAAATTATTTTTGTTTTCATTCATTAAGTTCTCTCTCGGGTCCTAATAGAAATAAAATAACTAATTTACAGATATTAAAAAATTAGTTAAGTTAATTATTTTAAAAAAAAATATGCGCTGATTTTTCTATAAATTCTTTTTAATCATTTATATTGGAAACTACATTCTTGATGGAAAATACTCTTAAAGTTTGGAGACACAGTGAATTGAGGTTTTATATTTAGTATTAAAGGAAACCCCTCTACATTATCATAATTGAAATTTTAAATTATGATTTTTATAAATTTATTTATGTTAATAATTAAAATTTATTTTTTAATTTACTTAGCATTGTATCAAAACTTGAAGCTGATTGAAGAGCATATATATATATATATATATATATATATAATTATTTGCAGGTCCCCATATGGTATTTTTTGCGCTGAATTTAGTTGAAGCAATTGGACTGCTTATGATGTTCAAACCATTTCTGGGTGAGAAAAAGAAGAAACCTTCACAACAGTTATACTGATAAGACCAGATTTTGCGGAAAGAAAAAAGGCTTCAAGCATTTCTATGGAATTCCGTTTTTGGCGGCGCCCACTTCTGGGATTTGCCTGCTTCTAATTGATAGAGCAATAATACATCATACATGTAACTTGCATTCTGCTTTGTTATAAGGGGAAATAATTATTAATAATGACGAGGATAAAAAGTCAAAAAGGGAAAGAGAAACAGTCATATGCTATTGTACTATTGTTCGACTAATCATGAAATTTAAGTTTTGCTGGGAACTTAAAATATGAAGTTCAAAGGTTTGATACCGGTGTTGTCATTATTTCATTCTTCAATCTCCTCTTTTTTTTTTTATCCGGTGATAATCTTCTTTTTGTTTTTTCCCTCCTACCTGTCATTGAAAGTTTGTACTTCTCGTCATGTTCTATGATTCTTTGCAATTAATTAAAACACCTAAATAATTTAGCACAAGTTTGGAGGTTGACAACTTCCAAAATTTAAAAAATGTTTAGGTGAAAATGAAATTATAATTTTAGAAATGATTTTATGAAATTTGAAATAAGTATGTAAGAAAAATTGTCTCTATTTATATAAAAATATATTTTTTAAAATGCTTTAAGGGCATATTTTAGAGCATACCTAAACGTCTAGTGAAAAAGCCCACAGCCCACTGATCTATGGGTCGCTCAATTTGGTGAGAACGTAAAGCTCCTCAATCTAAAGTACAAGGTCCAAATTACTCATTTTCTTTTAAATTTTTTAAAAAATCAATGTACTGATATAATTCTATTTATAAATTATTTTTAATATATTTCACACAAATTAATAAAAAAATTAAATTATATTAACTTTTTTTGTGAGCTAAACTATATTATCTCCGTATTAAAATTTAACAACTTTCTGATTTTATCTTAATGTACTATACATTATACACTATGAAAATAAAGCCAACGCAATAATAAATGAAAAATATATTTCTACCTTATAAATAGAATCAAAAAATTTTTTTCTTTCTCTACCTTATAGGAGTATGAATATTTATATGTATAATAAAATATGTAATAAGTTGTCTTAAAAAATTAGATCCAGTGACTTGTTTGTTGCACAGGGGCAATCAGTATGATAAGCGGGGAAAACGTTACTCCTTTTCTACCTACCATAACTCGTGGATTATCGGGAAAGAATGTCTTTATTTAGTTTTCTCTGCACTATCTTTTATTCATTATCTCTGCCATTGGATTAATATCTAATGGCTAAGATTTAAAAAATGTATAAAAATAATTTTAACCTATATATAAATAAATATTATCATATTATTATAATCAAACGGCATAGGATAAAAAAATAAAATATTTAATAAAAATCTATAGAAATAATATATGCATATTAAAATCTGACTGTTTATGTATATTTGTTGTTTAATTAATATTATAATAATATTTTTATAATATATTAAATATCAACCAGTGGATGTTAATCCAAAAATAAAAATAGTAGAGTGAAGAGAGAATTAAATGGAGACATTATCCAGTTAATTAGTCACTAAAGTAATTCAATTTTTCCAAATATATCCTCCATATAATACAGTTAACTCTTTTAATGGAGAGTGAACCATATTGAAGAGGGTCAAGGAATTTTTTTAATTAATCAGAAATACTTTCTAGATAAGCATATTGGTTACTCTCAATATTTTGCAAAAGGACTTATAAATGAAATAAAAAAAATCTTTTTAAAAGATGCTTTGTAATAAGCAACGGAGAGAGTATACATAAATATGTGTGTGCGCGCGCGTGTGAAATCTTGGGCCTCGTCTCTAGTTTAGTCTTCTCAAATCTGACCAGGTCTATCGTGAAACGAAAATTTTAACTTCAAAATCAACTCACAACCTTGATGTACAGTTTTTGTCTTTTATTAGTCTCCTTTTAAGATGCATGGGATTAATTGTAGGCCTGCACAACATACTGACTGGACCAGATCAAAACCCAACCCGCTAGACTAGATTTCCAATTTTCTTTTTTTTTTCTTTTTTTTATGGGAAATAAGATTTCAACATGATAAATACAATTTAAGATAATAAAAATACCTATAATCATATAAAAATCATCCTAAAATATTAGGACTTCATCATAAATACACAAAAATCTCTAAAAACATTAAAAAAAAATTTAAAAGTAACATCTAAATTACAAATTATTGAAAAATAAAAAAATTTACCTGGATTGGACTAGACCAGTCCAAGTGGTCTAATCACTTGATCTAAAACCTAGTCCAACCCAACCGACCAATCTAATTCAATCTAGTCTAACTTTATCATATAGTTTATTTGGACTAGATTGGACAGGAACAGACCACTTCACGTTGGACTAGACTAGACTAGACCTAACCATCATGTACTTGCATACCCCTAATTAATTGTGTTTACTGAACAAAGTACTTAGGCTTCATTGTGTATGAAGCATTAAGGGTTGTGATTGGCATTGACATTGATATAACTTATTTTAACATATTTGGTAGGAGATACTAAATAATACTTGGGATTGTGCAATACTACCCAGATAAGATTGCATAATATCACCACCCTCCATGGTATTATAAAATCATTCATAAGATTGAACATTATTTATACCAAATTATCCCTATGATATTTTATGAACTCCTTTTTTTTTTTAATTTATAAGGGTATATAAGTTTTTGTATAATTTATGGCTAATTATAAAAAAAAATTAATATAAACATTCTCCCAAGTATTTTTTTCATACCAAATGTGATTTCAAAGCCTTATTCCCACTCTCATTCCCATTTCTATTCCCACTCCCTATACCTTAAAATTCAGGTCCATATACTTGCAAAATGATTCTACGAGTTTAATGTTTTTATGTTTTTAACTTATAAAGCGTGTCAATTCGCTTTTAAACTCATGCGAACTACAAACTCATTTGAACTTACGAGTTCACTCATTGAGTTTACTGTTTTTAAGTTTTTAGCTTATGAAATCAGGTCAACTCACTCTTAAACTCATGCCAAATTTTTAAATCTAGTTATGTTTAATGACTTTATACATGAATTTCATAAAATTTTCTTTGTTGAATATAGTAAATTATGAACATTAGTGGATTTAATTTCAATTATTTGAATTTAAAATATATTTAAATAAAATTCTCATTTTTTATATCTTAATTATTTAAGTGTATATTTTTAATATCAATTTATTAGTAAACTCTTATAAGCTTACAATCCGAATTTACATCTGTATCACAATCATAAGTTTAATAACTTTGACTCAGTTGTTCATCCATAACCAGTGTGTGTTAAAGACAGAAAATCTTTTATAAGGCCCAAACATGTACTGACTTGAGTTTTCAGTTTTGCAAGGCCCAAATATATACATGAAAACAAGTTTCCGAATATAGATTTGTATAAACTACAACCTCCATCCTTTATTATAAACAACATAGAACTCCATTGCGTAAATCTAAAAGCTAGTTAAAAACAATAAATAGGTCAGAATTAAAAAAAAATTTCTCCAAAATACCCTTATTTATAGGGAGAGAGAGTATAAGAAAGAATAAAAACATTATTATAATAAAAAGAATTATAAAAGAAAATGTGTGATGGAGAGAAATAATAGCTTGTAAAAAGAGACAATAAATATATTGAATATTAAAATAAATAATTAATAGGGATAAAATAACAAATTTGTTACAAAATTAAGACAACTTGTAAATATTACTTGTATTTAGGAAAAAAAAAAAGAATGACAGTTATTACTTAAAAAAAGATGGAGGGAGTATTATTTATCCGTTGTTTTATTATAAAAAGGTATTTAAGATCCAGAAATTGGTAATCACCCCATTCCATTGAGCGTATTGCCAGTTCTTGTACTTGATAATCTCGATATTACAAGATCCCAAAGTAGCCACTAAGATTTATCCAGCGACTCATATCAAAACATGTCGCAGGTAAGTTTCTGTTTTCCGAACTTGTTTTGTAAAATCAATGCTTTCCACCTGGCTGTTTCTGGCCAAGGATTTTACCACAACCGATTACTGCCATTTTGTCAAGCTTCAATCCAATGGTTAGCATGTCATTAATGAACCCTAAAGTGAGGGGGGGAAGAAATCCGCTTCATCTTCAGGTGCTTTTCTTCCAAGTTCACAGATTGTCTGTAACTTTGTTGATTCAAACTTTGCTTTACTAGCCGGACCACGCACACGAAAGAAAGAGGCGTAAAAGCAGAATCTACGGCTTAAAAAGGAGATTCCAAGTAACATTGATCTGATTGATAAATACTCCAAGCCAAGGTTTACCCTCAACCAAAAAGTAGAATCTAGCAAGGCCCTAGAAGATTATTTTAACGACAGTGCAATTAAGAAAGGTAACAAGCCATCGGATAAGCTCACTAAAGGAAACGAGCTTGATTTCTAATAACTTCAAGATGCTGTGGGTGGCATCCCATACGCACGTAAAGCATGGAATTTGAAGCTAATTATGAGAATTCCCACGCGGTTAATATTGTGGCCCAATCAATGATCTAGGTACACAACAATGTTACCTGAAAAAAGGAGGGTGTGACCGATAGACGACTGAGTTGTATGTGACTTGACTTACGGGTGAGCGGTGAGCCAATCCCCTGACTAAAATTTTTTCACCGGAAAAAAAAAATACAAAAGAAAACAAGACATACCATACTTTCACATTTGAAGCTCGAACAAGCAGCACTCTCAAATATGCATTATTTAATTTGCAATTTTAAGCGTTGCTATATTTGATACTAGTGTTGGAATTTTATTTCCATTGGCATTGACGCTTCTAACAAAATTTGAATGCGATAAGGCCATTCAATTCAAGAACACATCAATTACAGTACAACAAAATACAAGTTAAGATATACCTGTTTGGATGCCCTGAATATCACAACAGATGCGCTTTCCCTTATATCATGCAACACAACTAACTTTAATTTGACCAAGAACAGAATTATTGTACAACTTTTCAATTTGTCATAGACTTGGTATGGGGAAAAATTCCATGCTTAGAATGCTTCTATTTCTTGCGACACGTATCCAAGCATGTATCTGCTAAATGAAGCTTCCGTCCTTGATCTGTTGCAAGCACAGAATGAGTTAGACAAAAATATTTGCTTATTTTGAAGAACCATGATTTTATCAAGCATTGAAAAAAATAAAAAAAATACTCTTGGCATACTTCTAAACCGCGTATTTTTGTAAGATTTATCAGCCAAGATTTTTTATTTTTTTATTTTTTTAATAGACAGAGAAGCCAAAATGGGAAACAGAATTAACCATACAAATCTAAATGCACATGCACATAAAATTCAATAAGTACAACTCTTGATGCTGAATGATGTCTCTCATTGAGCAACCAACTAATTTAATGGACCTTAATCAGGACAACTAGTTTGGCTTGGGCATCATATAACTTCGTTTTTTTTTTTTTTGGGGGGGGGGGGGGGAGAAAGAAAAGGCTTACACTTGCAGACAATCATTTCTGGCATAGACACAATATAAACATATTGGCAATAAGGCAAGGAAGGAGGAAATAATGAAGAAAGAGAAGCACCTCTTCAATTTCTTTCAATTGTTAGGAACAAACATAATTCGTTAGCTTGATTCAAGAAACCACAAAAACCACAAAAAGAGAAGAAAGGGAAATAAATGCAGGCAGTGAAATTAAAAAGAAATTTATTTTTGGTTTAGAATGATTAAAATTATGTAAATATGTAAAACATATAAGATACAACTAGAAAAGAATAAAGTTTTGCACCCATATATATTAAATCCGGGAGACCGAGTAGAGAGTAAAGAAGACTAAACCTGTTAGATTATATTCCTCCATATAAGAGCTAGATAGCTAATTTGAGAATATTAAGAAAATTAGTTAAGTTAGTTATTTGTTACAAATGTACTCTAATCTTCCTAAACTATCATCTTCAATTATGTGCATTGGATGATTGGAACTACTTGGTGGGAACCCCTTGCAATCAATAAGAATATTTTTGGAAAAGATGAGAAACAAAGTAGATTGAGGTCTTATATTAAGGATTCAGGCTAATATAAATATTTGGAAGACTAATTATATGATCATAGCACCAAGAATACATATAAACAAAATGGTTCTTATAACGCAAAAGTACAGCCTGCATGGTTAAAAAGCAAAAGACAAAAGAGAAAAGGAAAACATAACAAGAAAGGGGGTGGGGAGTATAAAAACTAAAATGAATTCAAACATTATGCATCCATTCATTTGTTATGAAAGCCCTAAAACTCTAATTTGAAATAAATATTAAGGAAGAGAACCGCGTTTGTTACACTGATCAATTCAAATCTTGACACCTAAAACTTAGGAAACAAGAAAGATCCCCAAACCTTGTCAGTCATGAACACATTGAGCAGCCCTGTGCCTTCCTTTGATCATCTCAAACAAAATCTATCAGCCAAAAGAACCCCGGCATTTTGATGATGCACATAAGCATTTCTTTTTCCATCTGGGTGCAATGTGACCCACAGTAGAATCAGATCGGGCAGCCCCATAATCATATGTCAATTCTGTCAGTGGAGGAATGTGTCTAAGGGCAAAAAAGGAAATATGGACAACAGGTTGATTGTTTTCTTCATATAAAACTGGCTGCCAAAAGACATTTGGGGAGCAACTATGATTCATGAATCTCGCCACATTTCCAACATTCTTGGCACTAATAATTACAGGAGATGGAATATCATAATCCTCGCTAGAATCATTTGAACTAGCTTCTTCAAGTAACTTAGGTTCATAGTTCCACTTGAATGGTTGATATATTCGAGTCGTGTCAAAAACATACTCATCATTATTGCCATTCCATCTTACCCTGGCTCTGTCAATAACTTCTCCAGCATACTCACAAATAAAGGTACCTGCACGGATAGGATCCAATGATCGAAGGCCCCATCCTCTATCCTTTGTTTTGAAAACCTCCATACGGTACTTCAAACCAGTTTGGGATACACGATTTTTGCAGTTAGGAGAACATTGACATGAAAGGCCACATTCATAAACCAATTTCTTCCGACTCACTAAAATGCCGTTCCCAGTATATGGAAAATCACCTTCATTTCTCCGAATGCAAGAGCAGTTCAAATCGCCAGGAATGCAATCTTTTTGACAGTTGCAGAAATCATAAGGATGTGAAACAATGAAGGATTTTGAATATCTAAGAGAATGGAGATAAGTGAAATAGCCAGGTGCTTTCTCATCATCAAAATCATTAACAAGCGACACAGGAATTTTCTCAGCTCCTGAGGAGAGGTCTGCAAGAATAAGCCCAGTCCTAGAAGCGATGCCACCTTTCCACTTTTCAATAGATTTCCAAGCAGCAAAGGCTCTGGGCTGCCCCGGAACTCTCACCAACTTGTACTTGAATACACCACCACCAGATTTCCCTTTTTCTACCCATGAATCCTGGATTTTATACAGCCCATCATAGATATAGACCTTTGAAGTTGAATTCATTTGATCTTTCATGCCCCGTATTACTCTGACATCAGTCTTCTGTCGCAAGCTTCTATCCAAAGCAAGATTACCCCTTTCTAGCTTCTGATCATCCCCCTTATCACCACCCTGACCACTATAAATCAAAATATCACTATCCTCTGCATTGTCATTATATTTTCCGGATGAAACAATAGCTAAAGCCAGAGGATCAGACTCATTCTTACCACCCATATTTGTATAGTCGATCCCACCCATAGACTGACTATGCAGACCCACAATACATAATTCTAGTCGGAAAAAGAAAATGTCCCCAATCTCAACCCCAGGCACAGCTCCTATTCGTTTCCTCAGGTTTGTTCGAATGCCTGCACTCATCAAAATGTTGCCAGCTCTCATATCCGCTCGCTTGCTCAACCCTAGTGTCAATTCTTTGGAATCTTCAAGCTGGCCGATCCTTCTCCTAAGAGCATCAAATGTCATGAGCAGAAGATTAACCAACTCCCTATTACCATCTTCACGCTCATTTTTGCCAATGCCCAATAATGAACTCACATCAATTTGCAGATCTTGACTTATCTTGGGCTTCTTTTTGGAGGATCTAGATTTGTTTGGTGCCGCGCGATCGTGGCTATCAGTATTTTCTCCATTGGATGCTACAGGAAACTCAGCCGGTGTTGCTTCTCCAGTGTCAGAGCTTCTAAAAGACCGCAGTGGAGCAGGCATGGGAACCTTAGGAGGCGATGCCTGAGGTCCTTGAGATGCACCAAATGGGAAAAAGGAATAAAACCCAGTGGGACAGGCGCCGTCGAAGGTAGTAGCCCTAGCTGAATTTGGAAACACAGGGTCCAAAGTACGCAGAGGTTTAACATCTAAAACCCTTGTCTTATCTATGGATCCTGAAGGAAGATTTGAGTTTTGACCTAACCCTCCTTGCATTTTACAGAACCTTGAATAAAATCAAAACCAAGCTTCGCAAAGAACAATCCCTAATTCTTATTTTTCCCCTCTATCCCACTATCAGAAGTGGAGTCCGACGCTCATTATTTAGACAAAAAATAGGAAAAAAAAACAAACCTTGACTGCGAAAAGTGCAAATGAATAATCATTTATTCAACAAGACGATATTTGAAACACGATTTGAAGGCAAACCCAAATAGAAAATAATATCCAACGAGGGTCATCAAAAGAAGAGTAGACGGGCTCATGATTCGCCACGAATCTGCTGGCGAAGCTTAGCGAATAAATGCAATAACAGCTGAGAAACTGGAACTCAAGAAATCAAAAGATTTCCGACCGGAAGATAGAGATAGAAGATGCACCTTCAAAGACAGTACCTACGGCTGGAAAAACAACTAGAGCTCGGGTTCGGCCGCATAATATAATTATATGCACTGTGTTGTACTGGTCGTGGGGTTTTCCTATGTGCGATGTCGTCAGAGTATCTCCAGATTTTACACAGTTTGGGTACATTTCATGCAAGGGGTCCAGTTCCTGCCCATTTGCAAACAACAGTTTTTGTAATTTTTCTTTTTATTAAATTTTTACAGTTTCACATTATTTTCAATTAAGTTCTTACAGCTGCAAATTATTGATGAAAAATTTATAAAGGCTCAATCAAATGTGAAACTTAAGGACCTAATAAAAAGACTATTAGGGTCCCTAATTAAAAGTTAAATAACACTATATAAATTTGTAAATTAATTTTTTTAATTAGTATCTTCCTGTAAATAAGTTCGTTGCGTAACTTATGGATAAAATAAAAAAATATATATCATAATAATTTGCATCCATAAAAGAGTACAGTTTTGTATATTTTATATTTTCTAAAAAACATATAAATTGCAAAAAAAAAAAAACTGCACCTACGAAAATTTTTGAAGTATTAATCTATCTATCCATCTATTATATATAAAAGCAGGGCTAAAAGCAGGCACCACAGCGTGCCACATGATCCCTAATTTCCTCCCTATTAAAAGCGTCCTTTTATGCCTGCAAGGGTCGAGTCCGACTAGTAGCAAACGGGAATGCAAGGCGCCTTCCTTATCATGTCATGGGTTCGATACCTGCGAGTGCACTTGGGATTAGTCTGGCCGGTTGTGCTGGTATCCTAAGGCAGCGATACCATTCTACTAAAAAAAAAAGCATCCTTTTGTTGTGAAAGACTACGAAGGCCTATGGTTTTTTCCAGTGGGTGGGGTACACAGTTTTGAAAGCCAGTAGTAGGAGGTAGTTTATAAAGGTGCCTCCCAATTTTCCCCGGAGCCCTCAGAGGTTTTTACCCGTTGCTCTCAGCCTTAGGGTTCTCTTAATGCCTTCCACCCGATTGAAAATTGTGGGAAAGAAAACCACCCGTAAGAACCGTACATCTGACCCCACCTCAAATACTAAAGCCTCCAATTCCGACTTGACCGAGACAGCCACGATCATGACTGCTACCATTATTGGGAGTTAGAGAGAAACAGTGAGCATGGAGTGCTAGCGTGGGTTCATTATAGTGCGTCTTCAGCTCCCAATCTTTCGATCTCAATCTCCTCTTGAATTTTCATTGAAATTTATGTCTTCGCAAATTTGTTTATCATATCGCTTGTTTACTTGAATCGCAATACAATAACTTATATCAGTATACAAGAATTTCACTATTTGTTGTTAATCCCCTGCAGGAATTGAATGTTTGCTTGAAAGGGGGTTTTATTAATGTAATACAATAATTTGCGCTTTGCTTTGGCACTGATAATGATTAACGATGATGTTGAGAGTTGCGTGAGTCTTGCCATGTAGTCACAAAAATCGGAAAGATGATTTGAAGTCTTCTCAAAGTATCGGTCAGATCATAGGCGAAGTTCTCAAGCCTCTTGCCAACGAACGCTGTAATTTTTCTTCCTACCATACTAAAATTTGAAATACAATCTTGCTATTCAACTTTTCTTGTACCCTTTCTATCCTGAATTTTAGGTTCTTTTTTTAGTGCTTTGCTAACTAGCATGTTGTATTCTCGGGTTTGTTCATTAAATATTCCTTTCTGGAACTGTCGAAAAAATGTATATTTCTTTCTGCTGTTTGAATTAGAAGTCTTCAAGTACTAACGGATTGTGTTCGGGCTGTCAATATGCTTACTTCCCCTTATTTACCGTTCTACCTAATTATTTTTCCAATTACCGATCTTCTTCCTTCCATTCAAAATATGTGAATTAAAAAAAAAAAACAGTTTCGGTTGTGCAACATTTTATTTTGTTGGGCTTTAATTCTATTCAGATTTCTTTTGCCCGTTAATTGATTTTATTAATTGAGAAAATCCACTATGATTATTCACCGTTTAATAATGGTAAAAATAAAATATTATGCGAGTAAGTGTTGTTAAGTTGTTAAAAACTTAGCAAATGTTTTGATATAAAACTGACACTTAATGTCAATAAGTTGTAATTGCTAAATAGCAATCATTGCAGAGAGAACAATAGTGCAAGTGGACATCACTTGAAATACTATATGAATATGCATGTGATGTATCCCTATTTTATACTATATTTTTATATATAATGGAGGGATTTTATAATGTTTAAAGAGTTTAAAATACAAAAGATACTCATATTTTGAATTAAGAAAATTATATAAATTAATTGCTTAAAAGTATATTTTTTATTATATTTTTATAATTTTCCTTTTGAAAGGTATCTTTGCTTTAATTCCAGGAAATATTCTATCAAGCAAAACATGGACCCCATGGAAACTACATTTGTGGCAGTCACTTGGCATTAAAAGAGAATTCTCCAATTATCTAATTGAAAATTATTCAAAATATCTAGTCAAAATAACTTTTATCTTCTACCATAAATCAAAGAGCTTGAATAATTAATTTCTTTTATGGATGATTCTTTTATTGTATTTTGAATTCGAATAAATATTTTATTTATATATCCATTATCCATTTAATTTTTCAAATATCCACATTATCATCTTTATCCTTTTTCTAAACCCTAATCCTAGTTCATTCAATCACCATATCTTTATTCAAATTTGAAATATTATCCTTTTATCCAATATCATTTAAATTCAAATTTTTTTTCCTTTGGTTGCTATGAAAATCACACCAAATCAAGAAGTCTCAAGTGTTTCTTCATCCAACCAGGACAGATTCAAGAGCCATAAAAGGAGATCAAAGGAGCGTCGGGGAAAAAATGAAGCCATCTAAACTACACAAGCACAAGCATACACTTGGCTTCTTCTTGTGTCTAGTTGTTTCACTGTTTCTTTTTATTATTTTCTTTTTATCATTATGGTGTCATCTAACTATATGTATGGCTAGTCCTCTTTGTTCCTGAGGATAAGATGATGTGGCTTGAGTTCTTATTTATTTTAGGGAGTTTGTTAGTTGTCATATTTCAATCCATGAGTATGTTGCTTTTATGAATTTCCTAGGTTAGAATTTTGATTTCTTTTGTGCACTGATATTTGATTTATGTTTCAGTTAAACAATTATATTTTGAAGCTTTTACTGAATATATTTTCAGTTTCTTCATGATTCTATGGGTGTTTATCTTTATAGATTTCTATTTTTTATTTGCCCAAGTAGTTCATACTCTAGGGTTTTCGATAGATAACTCTCCTCAAGGGACAAGATATAATTGTTTAATTGAATTCACAAACTAATTGTTTTTTAAATGATTAATTGAAAGATGATTATATGCTAACTCTCTATGTATAATTATTAATTAATTAATTATGACTTAGATGTTATCTAGGGTTTTTCTTTTTGACTCAGTAATTATTTTTATAAACTCTTTATTCTTTTGAACCATGATAGCCACTCATCAACATCCTCAGGAAGTGCATCATTCTGGTAAGGTCTTCGTTCCTTTTGCTTTCTTTTAATTATTGTTATTTCTTAATTTATTTTCCTAAAAAAACAATCAATTTTCTTTCCTATTACTTCCTTCTCTACATCACATTTTTCTTAATTAAAAAGGTTTTCAAAATTTTAACAAAGCTCCTTATAGAGAGATGACCTAGGTTGACCTCTATACTACATAGGGTTAATTTAGTTAATTAATTTAAGAGCTTACACAACAGGGCAATCAACATGCTTAAGAATTGTGTAGTTATCTTAATTAATTTTGTGATGTTGAAAGTAGATCTTGTGGATCTGTTAATGAAACCCCTAGGAAAGAAACAAATTATAGAAACATCAAGGGGAATGAGACGCAAACCAACATGAAATTAACAACAATAGAAACCCAACATTTGTGATTAGAGACCCCATGAAAAAGGTTCAAATGGGAAAAATAAGTCATCTATTAGTTCTACTAGCATTAACGGAAATTCATAGTCACTTCCTATGATGTGAAGAAGTGCTAGAATGTATTTTTTGAAGAGGCTGAGTGAAAGCTCTTAATGATTTAATAATCTTATGGGATGGTATGCTCATTGCAGGTACACTTAATGAAAGCACCTATTTGAATGTAGAATAGGGCTGCTCTCATAAGATCATGACAAAATCTCTAGAGCATTCGTTAAGAATCAGGGACGCGCATGGCCATTTTAATGCATAAAACCGCCATTAATAGTAAAAATTGTGAGGGTATAATATGACTTTAAGTACTTCTAATACACAACCAAAAGTTATTGGTTGATAGAAGCAGGCTTTACTAACACCTTTGTGTATTAAATGTTATCAGTTGAGGTCTAGTTCATAGTTTGAAAGACACCAGATTCGAAACAATTATACTCATGTTTATAACTCAGACGATAATACTCCTTTTGACACATGTGGAGATTACTGGAGCTTTAGTATGTGAGTGTGTCAAAAAAAATCTCATATTACTCAAGATTGAGAAAAGCTTAGTGTTTACTAAGATGTGAGCTTGAGCTAGAAGTGTTTTTAGAACTGACCATTAGAGATGACTATTGCAGTATTTATATGTTTTAATTAGTTGGTTTTATTCTTTCATTAACCAGATTTAATGGCCTTAGAATATTTTAATTCACCTTAATCAAATTTTTAAAAGCCGTCCTTTTAATTGTCATTAAAACAATTTTTAATCACCATCAGGTTGTCCTAACGATTACGTACTATCAGCTTATAAAAGGTGATGTGTGGTGCATGTCAGAGAGCATTGAGTTATATCCCCAAGCTCTCCTCCTCTCTCTCTTCTTCTGAGTTTTAAATTTATGTTGTTTTGTCACCCTACTCTATGCGGGAAGGATTCATTTAATTTTAGGAGTGCTGCCTTTTATTCTAACCTTATGTGGTGGAATAACTCTTAAGAATAATATCCTTGAACACGTCTTGAACCATATGTTTATTATTTTGCAGATGTTGCCAACATTTTGAGTAATATGTAGCAACAATAAAGAAATTAGAGATAGCAAAGGTGCTTCTAAATTTAAAAATTAACAATAGGTTTGGACATGAGCTGAGAAGTGGGTTTATAGATCCAATGA